AGAATTACTATTCTTAACTTATATATAAATTTAGCTAGGTGCATTAGTTACCTATTTGCACACCGCTTTCCTCTTATGATTGCAACACGAAGTTGAGTCACGTGCTCTCATCACTGTGGCTTACCCGACACAACTGTACCTTTTTGCGCAAACCCGTTCGTTCACGGAGTCAAATGCCCCAGAGAACGCGTGGATGTGCTCATTTGTGCCCAATTTGGCTGCTGATGTGTTTTTTATTCCAAGTTTGAAAGTTATTGTTGCATAAATCGAGTGCTTCGTGCTAATGAGGCTTGTCAAATAAGATCGTCACAAGCACCACTCCATCCACGAAGCCGCAACAACTTGTGAGACAAGCCTGGATTTTCCAACAGCCACGTACAGCGAGAAAAGAAAGCTAGTCACACAGAAAACAAAAGCAAATGGAACAAGATTAATTAATTACATGTCTATTGCGATCTACGGCAAACTGGCGGGCAGATAGCAGGTGCCGCCATGCGCCTCTCCTGTACAGTAGTCTACCTTTTGCGTCCCTTATTCATGGCTTCCAATCATCAATGGCAACTCGAAACAAAAAGCAATGTGGCGCTCGTGAATTTTCATCGTCATTTCCTTACATCTGCACCTCGACTCTGCCCTCAGCGCCAGGCCGGCCTTCGCGGAGGTTGGGGAGGAGGTAGGTAATATCATCCCAGGGGTGACGGTACAGACCAGTGCGCAGTCTCTTCTGATCGAGGTAGTGGGCAATGAGACCAATGGAGCGGCCAAGGACGAAGAGACCGTTGAGGACACCCATGCTGAGGTAGTCCTCAGCCTCCTCGGTGGAGAAAGCACCACAGTTGCGGAGCAGATCAACGAAGCAGACGGCAATGCAGCCGTCAACGTTGAGAATCAGGTTGTCCTTTTTGGAAGTGGTGACGGTCTCGACGGCCAAGGCGTAGTCGAGGAGCTTGTGGCTGGGGAACTTGGCAAGGACGTATTCTTTGACAAGCTCGACACGCAGATCAGGGTTGTTGCGAGACTTGACACGGTGACCGATACCAGGAATGAGCTTGTTCGCCTTGCGCATGCTGTCAACAAATTCGCGAGGGCTCAGATTCTTGTCAAAGGCCTTAGTAAACTCCTCAGCGGCACCGTCAAGGGCACCACCAAAACGGGAACCAATGGTAAGGAGACCAGAGACCAGGGCGCTGATCAAGTCCTTGCCAGCACGAGTAGTAATGATGGTGTTCATGGCACCGGAGACGGCGGGGCCGTGATCGGCAGTAAGCATGAGAACCATCTCAAGGAACTTGGAGGCATAGTCGGGGAGTCTGCGGCGGAACCAGAGAAGGGACATGACACCACCGATACCAATATCCTCTCTGAAGACGTCGGAGATGGGCATGCCAGCGTAAAGAAGCTCCTGGCCACGGTCATCAGAAATGGTGGAGATGAAAGCAGCGGGCTTACGGATAAGACCGAGTTCCTGAGCCCAAGAGTAATCAATGGGGATCTTAGGGACAACGGGCTCTGCCTGGGGTCGAATGGCGCCTTCCTTGACGAGCTTTTGGTACAGCTCAGCAAGAACACTGGGCATGTCCTCAAAAGTGTTGGGGACATAGAAGCCGGCTTCCTTCATGGACTTGTTCTTGGTGGCAGCGGTCTCGAGCTGAGAGTTGGCAAGGGCACCGGCGTGACCGAATTGGACCTCGGTCTTGAACATGCTGGCACAGGTACCAATGGCCCATGCGACAATGGGCTTGGTGATGATTCCCTGCTTGACGGCCTCAATTACCTTGTACTCTTCAACACCGCCAACCTCACCTAGCAGGACGAGAATCTTGCAGGCGGGATCGGCCTGGTAGCGGAGTAGGTGATCGATGAAGGTGGTACCGGGGTAACGATCACCACCAATGGCAATGCCCTCGTAGACGCCATCTGTGTTTTGCGAAATGATGTTGTTGAGTTCGTTGGACATGCCGCCGGACTTGGAGACGTAGCCGACAGAGCCCTTGCGGTAGAGCTTGGAGGCGACAATGTTGTCCATCATACCACCAGTGTTACCAATCTTGAAGCTGCCGGGCTTGATACCACCGACAGTGGCGGGTCCGATGATGGTGACGCCCTTCTTCTTGGCAGCGTGGGCAATCTCACGGGCGCGCTGAGATGACAGATTGTTAGTTAATTGCGCAAATCAAGAGGGTTTTATAGCTGAGACTTACACGCTCGGGGACACCCTCGGCAATAATGGCAATGGTCTTGATCTGGGGGTACTGCATCAGCTCCATGGTGGAGCTGTAGACGGAGCGAGACGAGGCAAAATTGACAACGACATCGACATCGGGGTGCTTGGCCATGGCCTTTTCAGTCTGCTGGTAGACGGGCAGCAGAGTCTCCGAGGTACCCCAGTACATTTTGCTGACGAACTGACCACCAAAGGTGTAGATGATGCCAGCGACGGAGGGGGTCTTGCGCTTGCAGATGAAGTCAAAGTCAAGCATGCCCTGGACGGCTCGGGGCTGCAGGCCGTAAACGAAGCATCGGGTCTTGTCGTGGAAGAGAGCGTGCTCAGGAAGAGGGCTGAGGGGCCGGCTGGGAGCGGCAAAACGCTGGATCTTGTCGTTGGCAGAGAGGCTGGCGCCGCTGCCGGTGGTGGTGGCCTGGGCCATTGTGAAGAAGGCCGCGTGTGTTGCGTGTATAAAATTGGATAAGAGCCGTCAAAGGCTGCTTAGGGCGGATGGATTGAAGCTGGAGAAAGGCGACTCGAAAGGGGAGCAAACGGACGAGGCGGGTTCCGACCAGGAAACTTTTTTGCGGTAGTGGCAGCTGGTAAAGGATAAGCTGTCAATAGCTGAGCTTGAGACGAGGGGGCAAAAGACAAGACCAAGGATGTCAATTGCGAGTATGTGAAAGGAGGATATGTTTGTTGGAAGAAGAGGTGTGTGAGAGATGAGGAGATGGAGGAAGCTGGCGGATGATGGCGAGGACTCGTTCCTGGGTGCTGGTTCAACAGGTCGGAGCAGGCATTTGCTGGGAGTGTATGCCGCAAGAGCTCACCCACCAAGTGGCCGCACAACAGACAGCCCACCAAAGAAACAGAGGAGACCAGAGAAAAGGGAGTGGAGTTGGGACCTTGTAGTGGATCCCTGCTGGCGGTGCTGGGTGTCAAGGAGAGCAGCAAGCGGAGTGAGAAGGACTTGGGGCAGAGGGGTCGAGTAGAGGTACGAAAGCAAGTACCAGTACTCCGTACAGAAACGATGATGCACTGCCAGGAACGAGTACGAGTGGGTCTCGACGGATACAGCACTGTAACCCACTGTAAGTTATAGCGCACAAGTATGGCTCACCAGCGTTGTAACGATGAAATACAGGTGACATAAAAGAAGCAATTCAACGGAAGACCAGCACATAATGGACTGACTGTGGTGAAGCTGGACACACATGTGTCGATTGAATGACCATCAAGTCCGGTGAAAGAATCGATGACATCAAAATGGCACGTCCAGCATGTACAAGAGCTGGTCGAGGCGGTGACATGGTGTCGGTGTCAGGCCAGTCAGGGTCGCCAGAGTGATTGCGGCTGCACGGATACAGTTGGGGCAGTTTGTTTTATCCCCCGTCTTGTCTGCGTCTCTTGTTTCGCACGCAGGTACTCCGTAGGTTGAGGCTAATAAAAACCTTCTGGATCTGTTGAATTGCTGCCACACGGGTCGCAGCTAGCAAGCGCCGCAGTACCAGAGATGGCTTGCTGCAAGACCCTTTGTCCCACCGCGCTACAACCGGGACTGGCCTAGTCGGGGAGAACAACAGCCTCAAAGTCAAAAAAAGTTCAAGAAGAAGCGACCGCAATACTCATTCGTAGATGCCACCTTGGTGGGCTGTGCGCTGCCAAGCTGCCAGAGACGAGCACCCAAGTTGCCTTATCATTTCGTGCAGCGCCGTTGTCGGGGCCCGTTGACCTGCAGGTTGGATAAATACCTCTTTTTCCCATGGCCATAACAAATATCGATATCATGATGTATCCGCAATGCGAACAAGAAACTCTCGCACCCAGACTTCGATGCCAAGATCCAACCGGCATTCACAAATATCGAGGGGACATTCTATTCCCGTCTCGCTCGGTTCCCGCTGTCCTGCCGATGTTGTCGATGATGCACAGCATGCCGTGCCCCCTCCCCCTCCATCACACGTGTAAGAAGACGGCTTGCATTATCAGTAACAGCGCCTATGCCTTGACTCGGCGGCACTAGGTAGTTAGTCAGCGCGTAAGCATGCCCGCCAGAGCCTGTCCGGAAAGACCTTCTTTCTGTCATGTGGGAGTGTGTCGGTGCTTATGTCTGTAAAAGCTGTACTCGGCCGAATTTTGGTCGTCATTTTTGTAAAAGCGGCCTGTGATGGCAATGGCTTACTGGATGCTCCATACACTTGGGTGCACATCAGGCCGAAGGAGGTCTCTGGCCCTGTAGCAGCGCATCCACTATCGAGTGGACTCGTTTCGCCTATTGATAGCATAAGCCTTGACACGGATAGAGCCGTAGCAACGGCACTCGTGTGTCTAAATCATCCCGAATCGGCATAAGCAAACTGATACGGCGTCGTTCTCTCGCAAGGAGCCCGTCTTCGTCGCGCATCAGAGTGGCCGTGGCTACCTAGTTTGGGGGTAGCTTCTTGGTGCACATGATGCTGACATTGGATGGTGCCGTTTAAGCTGCTGACCCAAAAGACGTCACAGAGGCTTGCTGCAGAGATGAGCAGTCTGGGGTACTCTCAGCCTGGTAAATATCGACCCGGACAAGAAGTCGAATAGAAGCAACCAGATCTGACGTGGAATACGTACGGCGCTGGGAGACTGTTTTCCAGCATCCGACCATGTCGCATCCGTATCCACCCCTATTCGTTTTCGCTATTGTGGTGCACCATAATTGCCGCCAAGTAGTCACCGTACTGATAGTGTTTGGCAAGGACCCTCCTTGCCGCTGTATTGGGAGAGCGAAATCGGGAATTTGACATTTTTTTCTCTCAACCTTTTTGGTGGAACCGGGGGGGGGGGGGGGGGTTTGACGACTGCGACTGGCCTCGGAGGAATTGCGCTGCTGTCCAAGACAAGCACCCTCGAAACCACTCCACAGGAGTTGTTTCAATTGAGGCGTTTGCTGTGTGGCTGTCTTGATGACCGGCTTGGGTCTGATCATACTTGACGAGCCGGCCTGATAGCACAACCATCTTAACCATCTTAACAGCAGTAAATACATATTTAGCAGCAGGTGGTGTTGCTGGCGTCTTCTGCCTGAGTCGGAAAAAGGTGCCGGCCTTTGCAGGGCCCACCAGGCGCCGCAAGCTTCTAAACGCTGATCCACTTGCTCAATGGCTTTCTCAACCGCTGGGGAGATGCAGGAGCAAGTACCGGTACATGTCCCAAAACTTTTTTTGGTGCAGACATTACGCCAGGTACTCCGTAATCCACAGTGTAGTAACCCACAAAGCAAACCCGCAGCCAGCTGCTCCTCTGTCGTCACTGCTGTACCAGCCAAGCTGCTGCCCCTCTCTGCCCTCTGTGTCGTGCTGACCGCCCCGAAAGAGCCAAATTGTAGGTACAATTGCCCAGCAAAAAGACTCAGGCAGTCGCGTCGAGTCCATGAAAACACCCCCGAATTCTCAACGACGTCCCTGGCCAGCCCTGGCCGCCCCTCAGACAGCTGCACACTGGAGCTTTCCACCCCAAATTTTTGGTCCATTGCTCGCTGCTTGCCCACCCGCCGCTTTTCTGCCACCATTCTGAACCTCATCACTCTTCCCTCCCACCTCTTCGCCCATTGACCATTTTTTTTGCGCTTCACAATCTCGTACCTATTCCAGTCGACCTTGTTGCGTGCAATTTCCGACGGCACGTTTTAATCGTCATCTCTGCGTTGCAGCTTTCTCATCCCGTTGCTGGTAAGTGCTGTCCCTGTGCATCTCGCAAGCTTCGTTTGCTGCGTTGCGTCGTCTTGGGAGACTTGGCCGTTGCCATTGTCCAGCCAGTCGCTTCGTTGCACGCACTCGTTTCTGGCCAGTCTTTTCTGACTCTCTACAGACCCAGTTTGAGTCTCTCCAACACCGCCATCTTCTCCGCCACTTCTCACATACCACCTAATCGCACATACCTCACCACAATGTCCGCCAAGTCGATCTTCGAGGCCGACGGCAAGGCCATCCTCAACTACCACCTCACCCGCGCTGCCGCCATCAAGCCTAGCCCGCTTGCTCAGCCCACAAAGCACAACCCCCCCGCTAGACTTGCTTCTTTGCACTTCCCCGAGGACGCCAATGTCGACGACGTCCTCAACCAGGCCGAGGTCACCTTCCCTTGGCTCCTCAAGGACGGCGCCAAGTTAGTCGCAAAGCCCGATCAGCTTATCAAGCGTCGTGGTAAGAGCGGTCTTCTGGCCCTCAACAAGACCTGGCCCGAGGCCAAGGCCTGGATTGCCGAGCGTGCTGGCAAGGAGCAAAAGGTTGAGCATACCAGCGGTGTCCTCAGACAATTTCTGGTCGAGCCCTTCGTCCCCCACCCTCAAGATACCGAGTACTACATCAACATCAACTCTGTCCGCGATGTAAGTCTTATACTTTGATATTTGTTTTCGGCCAATGGCAGGTGTCTTGGCTTATTCAGCCGTTGTCGTTTGCTTGACACATTGCGGCAAAGGATTGGCCGCTGCTCTTTCGTCGAGATTGCGACAATCTGTCATTGAGATGAGGAGCGTTTCGTCTATACCCATCTGGAGCAGACTCCTGCTATATAATCCGCGCCTGCCGGCCGCTGAAGTTTATGTGGGCTTCTTCTTTGGTGTGGTTCCCCTCGTAGCGTTCACCCGCCACGGACGAACGGATGTCACAATGAAGAGGGTCCGGCTTTACACCATCCCTGTCTTCATCGACCACGGCTCGACCCGAAACCCACGAACGGTGTACCTGCATTGGCATCGGAAGTTTGTTTGTTTTAAGAATATGGTTTGTGCTAACCACTTTTGTTCTCCCCATAGGGTGACTGGATTCTTTTTACCCACGAGGGTGGTGTCGATGTCGGTGATGTCGACGAAAAGGCCGAGAAGATTCTGATCCCCGTTGATCTTGCAGAATTTCCTTCACACCAGGAGCTTGCTGCTACCCTTCTTAAAAAGGTTCCTCAGGGTGTTCACAATGTCCTTGTCGACTTCATCATGCGCCTATACGCCGTCTACGTTGACTGCCAGTTCACATACCTCGAGATCAACCCTCTAGTTGTCATCCCCAACGCCGACAAGACTTCGGCCGAAGTCCACTTTCTTGATCTTGCTGCCAAGCTCGATCAGACGGCCGACTTTGAGTGCGGTGTCAAGTGGGCCATTGCTCGCTCTCCCGCTGCTCTCGGCTTGACCAACATTGCCGCTGGTGCCGACAAGGTCAGCATTGATGCCGGCCCCCCCATGGAGTTCCCTGCTCCTTTCGGTCGTGAGCTCACCAAGGAGGAGGCTTACATTGCCGACCTTGATGCCAAGACTGGTGCTTCTCTCAAGTTGACCGTCCTCAACCCTTCCGGCCGTATCTGGACCCTAGTCGCTGGTGGTGGTGCTTCTGTTGTCTATGCTGACGCTATTGCCTCGTCTGGCTTTGCTGATGAGCTTGCCAACTACGGTGAATACTCTGGTGCTCCCACCGAGTCTCAGACTTACCACTATGCCCGCACTGTCCTCGACCTCATGCTCCGCTCTCCAATCTCCGACAAGGGCAAGGTTCTCTTTATCGGTGGTGGTATTGCCAACTTTACCAACGTCGCCAGCACTTTCAAGGGTGTCATTCGCGCTCTCCGCGACTTTGCCCCCCGTCTCTTTGAGCACAACGTCAAGATTTGGGTCCGCCGTGCCGGCCCCAACTACCAGGAGGGTCTCAAGAACATGAAGGCCGCCACTCAAGAGCTCGGCCTCGATGCCAAGATTTTCGGTCCCGAGATGCATGTTTCTGGTATCGTTCCCCTAGCTCTTGTCCCCGGCAAGTGGGAGAGCAGCCATGTCGAGGAGTTCAAGGCTTGAAGTCTTGCTGATAATGAAGGAACAAGAATAAAGCGAAAAAAGGAATTCAGGCTGCGCCTGTAGCTTCTACCGAATGTTGTATTTTGCAAGCTAGACCACTATGAAGGCTCGGAGTTTTGACCTTGACATACTGGATGATACAAGCCGGAGAAGGACCTGTGTAATGATGCTGCGTTGCAGAATATGAGTATAACCGTAATAGACATTGCATGATTAGAGTTACAAACGGGCCTTCGGGCGATCAAGGTCGCAACATGATGTTCCTCTATCGCTATATGATGGAGTAACCATGTCGAGTGAGACTATGAGAGCTGTCGGCGCTGAAACAAGGCTTCATTCAGCCTGTTGAACGCTTCCAGCTCAGCCCTGTAGACTTTTAGGTCGTTGGACGGCGGATTCAAAGTCTCGTCATATATGGGGTCCCTCCTTTGCGATGCATCCCTATCGTCATAATAGAAGAATGCTTCATTGTAGTGTTTCACATATCCATCGGCTGGTTCATCGTATCGCTCCGGCACTGGCTCTATAAATTGCGACGGCGAAACGCCTTCATGGTAGCTCAGATAGCGCCTCGTCAAAAACTGCGAGATGTTGAAGTCGCGCTCGCTAAAAGCCGCGTCCTGCTCAATCATGTTACCACGAGTAAGTATTGAGGTGGCAGAAAAGGGACAACGGGAAAGGGTATGCTTACGTCCTGCCAGGGTCCTCTGGTAAAGACGAACATCTTGAGCGACGGCAGCCCCTCGCGGAGCCGGTCAAATACGGTATCCCAGCGCAACCGCGACGCCATAATGTGCCGGGGCTCTCCACCGAGCGACATGATCTTGATCATCCTGAGCTCCTTCCGGTGCACCGGCGACCTCTCACCCGACTCATACACGGACAGGTGGCTCATGATCGAGCAGTCATCCAGTGTCAGTCGCCGCAGCTCAGGAAGGACGGTGGCATTTACGAGAAAGTCGTCAATCTGCGCCTCAGACGCGAGCGTGTATCTGCCGAGCGCCAGGCTGTGCAGGCGAGGAAACGCGAGCGCGACTGTGTCTGGGCTGGCGGCCGAAGAGAAGCAGTCCTGCCAATAAGGTACTGCGCCGAAGTGGATGTTGGAGTAGATGGTCAAGGAGCTGAGGCGGGGAGCGGCGGGCGCGAGCCAGACGGAGGCGAAGAGGGGCCAGAAGCGCGGGAGGGGGGGCAAGGTGGTGGGGTTTAAGTGATCGCCCTCGTCGATCTCGGCGGCGATGCTGATGTGCAGTTCCTGGATACTGGTGACGACCTCGGTGAAGCACGGCTTGTCGGTCAAGGCGGTGTCGACAAAGTTGAGTAGATTTTCAATGGAAAGAGAGCGAAGCGGCTGACGCATGCTCGCAATGGCTTCGAATACGGCGATCAGGATGTTGCGCCTCAGCCCTATACCCGTGAAGTCTATGCCTAGGCAATTTGGCCGGAAACGCACGCACACGTGTTGTACATTCTCCAGCTCCGCGAGCCGCGCCACCGCCGCGCGCCACTCACCCAGGAGCGTCGCAAACAGTGGCTCCCAGCCCTCGAGGTAGTTGCCTTGCCGCCTCTTGTTAAATTCGAACACTACGCGGCGGACGAGCGTACGTGGCCGATAAGGGGAGGCGACATCGAGGAGCGCGTGGAACCGCGCGACGGAAAGCCCTCTGGGTCGGACAACGAAGGACCGAAAGAGCTCCGGCGCGGCAGAGGCGGCGAGGCGGGAGCAGGTGAGGCGGAGGCAGCGGAGCGGGGAGGTCTCGGCGACGAAGGCGATGATGATGGTGAGGAGCTCGGTGGAGAGGGAGAGTAGACCGATGGGCATGGCGGAATAATGCTGCGTATTGGGAGCGCTCAGGCCGTGATGTATGCAAATCAAGAATGAAGTACAACCAGAGCAAGGAGCCAGGCCAACTTTTATACTACAAGGGCAAGAGGGTTGTTCTAGGCAACGCCTGCAAGCAAGCGCTGCCGTGAACTCGACGAGTACGGTCCTGCCTTCTCTTTGATCACTTCGACCAGGAAAGCCAAACATGTGTCAAGGGCTAAACAGTTTGGTAACCATTTACTCTCTGCTAAGAAACTGGCTATATATGCAGCGAGCTGGTCCAAACGATGGCCAGACCGCAGTACATTCACATTCGGCATCGGGCAGAGTCTGGCGAAGCTTGATCAAAAGATTTAGCAGCAACTGGCCGTTTCTCAAGCTCGAAATCTGGGTCTTTTAAAAAATGGACAATTCTTGAGGACAGAAAAAAAAGTTCTACTGATCAACTCTTGCCAAACTGGGGTGTTGGCGCTGATGCTGCGCCGACCACCAAACTTGTGTGTGACGAGAAGTAACACTTCCATTGGCTCTGTCAACCGTTACAGAATAGCATCCAGTCAGTCGACAGCCAGTCAATCAACCGTCAGTGTATCAGGCAGTTGAATTACTAATTTAATAGCTACTAGTTATTTAGCTGCTAACTTGCTAGTAATCAAGGCTATCTGTTGATTGGTTCAGTGACTGTTAATCAACTGGCTGTTGATTTGAGACCACCTCATTACTTAAAAGTATTACCTGTAGCGCATCTGCATTTTTCTGCCGATCTTTCTGGACTTGAGGTTTATTACTACCTGCCCCGACAATAGCTTCGGAAATATGGGCATGATACCGGATTTCGAATCAGGTGGCAGACACAGTACAATTCGGACGCGTTTGATGGCCTCTGCAGCAAGTTCACTATGAGGGAACCGGCCTCGCTGTCGAAGCCTTACACCAGCCACAAATCGGTCGACAAGTACTCTGATCAACTCCGTCGACATCTGACTGAGCTCCATAATGTATCTAGATTGATCTCAGGTGCGGTTACATCTATATTGGCTGAACAATCTAAAACGAAGTAATAGACAATAGAAGATAAGAATAGGAGCTAAAGAACAGAAAATAGAGAACATAACAATAAAAAATAGAGTCATCAGAATAGAGTCATGAGAATAGGTAATAGAAAATGTATATACCGAAATCTTTTTTTCCCGCTACAGTAGCGACACATATTCCTCGACCTGCGGCACAGATTCCACGATATGTGTCACAGATTCCTTGATCTGTGACGCGGAGCCCACGACCGACGGCACGAATTCCTCGACCTGCGTCTGAGGTTCTTCAACCTGCGCCTAAGGGTTTCCCGCCTGCGTCTTGAGTTCTTTCACCTGCGCCTTGACCTCTTTAAGCTCTTCCATCTGCGCCTTGATGAGTTCTTTCATTTGCGTCTTAAGTTCATCAAGCTGCGCCTGAAATTCTTGCGCCTGAAATTCTTGCGCCTGAAATTCTTGCGCCTGAAATTCTTGCGCCTGAAATTCTTGCGCCTTAGGTCCTCCCACCTGCGCTCTGGGTTCTTCAACCTGCGCCTTGGGTTCTTCGACGTACGCAGACGACATATCTGATGCTTTCCCATTTTCCGAACCAGCCAGACTGAGGCACTCGCGAAAATGATCTAGCCTCGGCCCGATGCCCCATTCAATAATTTTGCGTACGGCACGCTGAAGAATCAGATAGTGATGCATGTCTTCAACTGCATACACACCAATGCGTTGCATGTAGTACTCCGCCGCAGGGTCCGATGGTCTCCATGTAACATAGAGGTGCGCGATTTCGTGATTAATGGCAATGCTGAATACGGCACTGTTGAACGACGGACTCTGGCCGTTGACTACGAGCTTCATGTTTAGCCGCCTGCCAACGTTGACGCATGCCGCCGAGCCGCCGAGACACTCGTTGATGCAGGACCACATGCTTTCGCCGTCGCCTCTGAACTCGACGATAAGAAAGGGCAGCACATTGAGGTTCTCGTTGACTACATTGACGTCGGTAAGAACGTGGTACAGCAGGCTCCGTTCTTCCCTTGGAAAAACTTCATAGGAATAGCCGTACAAGATATCGGGTATCGGAATGCTGAGTCTCGACAACCGTCTGACCCTCCCACTGAGCTTCTTCAAGGCTGCTGAAGTAAATCTTGTCGGTAAAGTCGCTTCCGCCATGATCAGGCTATCGGTGCGCAGTATAGGGTCGCCAAATTCAGGCCTCGGGAAGATGCTGCCATCAAACCGCTGCCTGACGGAATTTTTTACAGACATGGCGAGACAGTCGTTGCGAGCTCGAATAGCCCTGACGAACTTTTCGTCGCATGCTGTCGGAGTGGGAGGGGGTTGCTGCAAGCCAAGAGGCTCTACCAACGCCTGGATAGCCGGTGGTAATGGTTCACGGTCAACACGCATCTCAATGCCGTTGCGCATTTTCAAGTTTTCAAGCCGATAGTGCTCCGCGTCAACCAAGCTTCTTGTAGACGAACCCCCAGTGGTGCGATAAGAAGCGCTGCGGGAAGTAGCGGGTCGCGAAGCAGCAGTGTGGTCTTGTGTGTGTTTGTCGCAGATATCGGATGTGTTGATCGACGGCGGCGACGGCGGTCCGAGTCCGCCATCTCCACCACTGGCCATGGAAGCTTCAGAGTTTCGCCTTTGACGCTTGGCCGGAGGACATATGCTGCCAAGCCAACTTGAGACCAGATTGTTCGACGCAGGAGACCCCGATTGGGGATCGGAGTCGTCGACGGCAGAATGTGGGCGTTTGGACGGGCGTTGAGGCTCCTGTTCGTCTCTTTCGTAAGCTGGAGTCTCGTGAACCGGAGTCTCGTGAGCTGGAGTCTCGTGAGCATGGCGCTCCTGTATAACCATATTGGCCCTCTACTCAGAATTACCAGGCCGGTTCTCTGGCGGCCTACAACCTGATGATGAAGAATTGCTTTGCAGTATGGCAGCCTACAGGTGAGCTGCGGCGTAAACTCAGTTCACCCCTCGTGTGTGATTAGGTGTAGAATTATATTCCTAAAAAAGGCAGGAGTAGCTTTGTTTAGTTAAATGATATTCTTATAAAGGGTGACGTGTGCCTAGAGCGTCAACCTCGATATAATAACGCAAAATGAGTTTTTGGCCGCAACTCACCTATAGGCTGCCATAATGCAGGGACAACGAAAGGCGGCGGATAGGCCAGGTTGCGCGCAACGGCCGCTAGCGCGTCAGCGGATGCAGGAGGAGTCTTGGTGACCAGACTTTGGGATTTGGGAAGTCGGTGGCTTATTCTTTTCCGTTGAGAAAGATGCATGCGAAGGTGCGGGAAGTTGAGAGTTTCGGCCGGCGCGTAATGGTGAAGTTGGGGGATGCTCTGCTGGGAGGGTCGTACATGATGGAAGGACAAAAGAAGGCGGCGCCTACGAACAATGATTTCCTGTTTGATGCAACGCACTGAAACATTTGTATAACATTGGACATACTCTCTCTTCATTCACTTTCTGTTCCTTTGTTCAAGTACTGGCCACTTTCCCTAGCGTCGCCTTGTAGCCCATCCCTTCAATAGGACGGACACCTCTGGACCTTAGCTGCGGTGAAGCGAGTAAGAATTGAGAAAGAAGGTAGCAGAGCCAGTTCTTGTAAGATCACATCATCAGAACTGCTTCAATACAGCACCAGAAGAGGTATGGCTAGGTGCATGCGCACTTGCGCCACGAAACGCCGGTTGCTGGCGCAGTCTGTCCGACTTGGTGTGTGATATCACACTTATCCTAGTCTTGTTTAAAACTCATTAATCTCGTAGTCAAGAGTTGTCGGAGAGGTGGAACCTGACGGGCGCGTAAACTCTACAGCTATAAAGGCGAGGCTCCAAGGAGGCCAAGTGTGACACAGAATCTCCTTCAGTCTCGGCTACACGTGCCCGGCAATATCTGGCCATTGATGATGAGATGAGCGATGAGAGACGAATCCATGGCGTCCAAGAGAAAAGAATTTGCGTTCTAACGTACAAATCATAAAAGAAAGGTACCTGAAAACCGGAGGGTACAGAAAGAGGAGAAGGGATAAAGAAAGTACGAAACGTAGAGGAAAGAGGGGAAAAACAAACGAAAAAATAGAGACACTATATCATTAACAATGCACTGGAGAAAGACTTGCCGACGGCATAAGCACGCGCAAGCCCTATGACGAGAAGAAGCCATTGGACTGCATTATTCAGATGAAGACGGAGAAGAACCCTACTCAAGAGGAAAGGAACAAGTGTGGCAAGGATGCGCAGAAAGTCCAGTCAGAGTGCACAAAGACTGGCGGATTTCAAGAATGTCGAGAGAAAAGCAGCGCGGTCATGACCGCGCTGCCTGAATGCGCTGTAAATTGCAGCGGGAAAAGACCACAACGTGCTTGTTCAAAAGGCTCTGGCTGGTATGCTATTATACAACCAGACTTTGTCAACGGCGACAGGTGGCCCTTTGCCGAGGGTATTCTGACCATGTCCACGGCTTCTGAGACCCATCTAGACATAAACAAAAGGCACGTCTCTGGCGAACCTCTCCCACTCCATGCGCGTGGACATTTCGACGTCCCAATTTGGTTTTCGGAGGAACGCAATGGTGAGACAGTTCACAACCGCTATGCGCGCCCGGAAGCCATCAAGGCCGCGCGTCCCAAGGCTCGCGGCCAAGCTGTTGAGAAAAGTGGCTGAGGTGCAATTCATTATGTATTGGATGAGCGCACTTTGGCGCTGGCCGTCCCGCCGGTCCGGCTCATTTCTGGGCGTGTCCGTTTTGTCATTGTGCGCGGCGTCGTAATCAGTGATGGGATCCTCATGGGCGGCGGCCGCAGCGACTGCAGCCTCGTCCTCGTCGTTATCGTCTCTCCCAGCAATGCTTCTCTCCCAGTCTCATCAGGTATCACCTCTGTGTCCCCTAATTAACCAAGTGTCTCACACCCATCGCCTTGATTTCAAAACGTTCAAGACGTTCTGAATTTCTATTCTGTGATGACGTGTAAAGGCGAACTTGAAGAACGTGCCCTGGTTGGTTGAGCTGCTCTTGTGGGGAAATCTGTTCTCGAATGTTCAGAAATAATTCTTGAACCGGCAACCCTACTCTTCATCGGCCTATTTTTTTTTTTTTTTCCGTAATAGAGATGTTGAAATCTTTCTGATTGCTGTACGATTTGACTTGATCTTGGCTTGGCATCGACCGCCAAGTCGGGAGCTTAGCCCGAGCTAGCCTTTATTGTGCGACACCATGACAAAGTTTCCAAAACATCAACACCAAAGCTTTGTCGAAAAAAACCGTCCACATTTTGCGTCTTACTACAATTTGCCTGTAACGCGAGATTGATTCTCATTATTTACTACAGTCGAGTCAGTTGCCAAAGGGTCCTTCCTTTCCCCAAATAACATGGCCATTCCGTCAACGACCTTGTCAGATCACGCCATAGTGCACCCTGTTCATGTCACCACTGCCTTATCAGAAGCGGCCCTGCACAGTTGAAAGCATCGAATGTTGAGCATATCGTACCCGCTATAGATTCTGAAGAGAAAAAAAAAAGGCGTAAGAATTGCGTGGCTGTTTGAATTTGCTAATGTGGCTGCCGCCATGAACCTTGCCAGCCACTTGTGTATATATATACACTGCACGCTACGCCAGTATTTTCCTTTTTCATCATTTTCTACTTCATGAACAGCCGTGTCGGGAACAGCACACAGCCGCTATGGAGACTCCATCATCTGAGAAGCCGAATCTTTCGGATGACGGGGCCGAGCCCCGAGTGAGCCACGGCACCGTCCTAGACGACGGTGTTGGTAACCTCACTTTTGATCAGTACACGACTGGCGGCATGGGCCGCCATCTCGGCGTCGTCAGCACAACATTTCTAATGTACGAGGATCTGTGTAGCCCAGAATAGCCGGCGGAATAAAGGGGATAAAAGAGCTAACCTGGTTCTTTGCAGTGTCGGTCGCATCATCGGAACGGGCATCTTTTCGACTCCATCCGCCATTGTCGCTGGTGTCGGCAGCGTAGGCGCGTCGCTGATGCTCTGGGTTCTGGGTCTCTTGCTGGCCATTTGCGGTCTCTGCGTATGGCTCGAGTTTGCATGCATGATTCCGCGCAGCGGCGGCGAAAAGGTTTACCTCGAGGCTGCCTACCGACGGCCCAAGATGCTCATTACGACTGTTTTTGCGGTTCAGGCGATTGCCTTGGGCTTTACAGGTACACCATGCTTCCGAGAAAACAGAAAATAATCGAAAGGGGAGAAAAAGAAAGAAGAAAAATTGCTAATAATTTAAAGCTTCGGGTTGCATCATTTTCGCCTCCAACATTGTCATTGCGGCCGGTCGGGTAGCGAGCGAATGGGAGAAGCGCGGCATTGCCATTGGTGTCATTGTCTTTGTCACTGTCATCCATACATTCTTCCCCAAAGTCGGCGTGCACGGCATGAACTTCTTCACCATTCTCAAAGTCGTTCTCCTGCTCTTCATTGTCATAACCGGATGGGTCGTGCTCGGCGGCGGCGTTTCCAGCGTCCAGGATCCCCACGCCAGTTTTCGCAACGCCTTTGCAAACTCGGCGCAAAACAGCAATCCCTACGCGACTGCGCTTTTCAAAGTACTCAACTCTTATGCGGGGTCAGTCCTCAATTCTCGAAACCCCAAATTGCAAGGCTTTCACTAACAACACACACAGATGGTCGAATGCCATGTACGTGCTCAACGAAGTCAAGAATCCCGTGCGAACAATCAAGATTGCTGGTCCTCTAGGTCTCTCCATCTGCGGCGTCTTATATCTCCTTGCCAACGTGGCCTACTTTGCCGCTGCGACGCCTCACGAGGTTGCGGAGAGCGGAACCACCGTCGCCGCCTACTTCATGGGCAAAGTCTTTGGCGTCGCGGCCAAGCGCGCGCTCAGCGTCCTCGTCGCCTTGTCTGCCCTGGGCAACGTCATGACGGTTACATTTGCGCAGGCCCGCGTCAACCAAGAACTGGCCAAGGAGGGCGCCGTACCCTTTGCCCGCTTCTGGGCGTCCAACTGGCCGTTTGGCTCACCCTCGACCGGACTGATCCTCCACTTTATCCCATCCTTTATCGTCATTGTCGCAATTCCCTTTGGAAATGCCTACAGCTTCATCCTCGACTTGGAAGGCTATCCCGGCTCCGTCATCAACTTCCTTGTCGTCGTGGGTCTCTTCTATCTCCGCTACAGCGAGCCTGACGCGCCCCGTCCCTTCAAGGTGTGGTACCCGGTGGCCATCTTTTTCATGCTCGGCCAGGCGTTCCAACTGGTGGCACCGTTTCTCCGCCCACCGGGAGGCATTGGAGATACACCACCGCTGCCATACTGGCTGTACTGTGTCGTGGGAATCGCGCTCCTGCTCGCGTCCGTGGTGTACTGGTATGTCTGGTGGGTAGCTGCGCCAAAGATTGGAAAGTACGAGCTGGTGCCGCAGAACGAGCCTCTGGAAGATGGTACAAACGTAATTGTTTATCGCCGTGTACCCAAGAAATTTCAGGATTCATAAAGGGTTAATAGACAGGCAAGACTCGCCTCTAGCACACTCTATGTAATCTGCGCACCGCCTTTGAACAAGTAAAATACGTGTCTCTTCCATCTATTGTAACGTGTTGATCATTCTGAAACGCCGATATTTATTTCATTTCAATTCGAGCTGCTCGTAGATATTTACTTGCCAATTCGGGAAACACGGTTGCTTCTGATTGGCAGCCTCCGTCGCTCACTTGGCGCTGGCGGCGATCCCCATATTTTGTTTCAACAGATGCTCTATATCAAGTGAGGAGAGGAATTCACCACCTATTTTTGGTTACACATTGTCTTTCATAAGGAAAGGGAATGACTATTTATCCTAAAACTCAAATGGCGAATGGGCGGTCGGCGGTTCCCAGACTTGGTAGTGCCGGAAATCATCATCATGACACGAGACCGACGCTGCACGAACCCCAAAGAAGCAGGCGCCATTACGCATGGTGCAGAGAAGATGTTAAGAATGAGCAAATTGACTCCGTTTTTATTCCAATACGCAACTTGAGCAGCCCACCATTTTCTGTAAATAAACAGCGCCGGCCCTTTTAGTCTCCAGCTTCTTACATGAATGAGCTAGTAGTATTGAATGGGCTTCGAGTCAATGACCCCGCCAAGTTTAAATCCCTAGAAGTTGTGGCTATATAAAGGCTTGACCATGGCTTTGTTGAGTGTAATTTCTCTGATATCCCAAATAACTACCACGAAATATTTTCAAAATGAAGCTCTCCGTCATTTCTGCCGTTTTCGTCTCCCTCGCCGCCGCCGCTGCCGCAAAAACAACCCCCACACGAGAAGTGGCCGCTGCTGCTGCAGTCCCTGACCCCGTGCAGGACGGCATCGCCAAAAACTGCAAGACTTACTACCAGGCCAAGCCCGGCGACAGCTGCCAAAAGATTGTCAACGACTACGGCGTCTTTACCTTTGGCGACTTTTTCAAGTGGAACCCCGCCGTGGGCAAGAACTGCGAGTCCTTGCTCGGTGGCTGGTACTACTGCGTTGGTAAGTCTTTTTTTTTGTGTTTTACGTGAACCGAGCAAAATCTGCTTTTTCAAAAATTTACTTTGGCAGATGAAAAAAGTTTTATGCTTCTTTTTTTTTTTGGAGTGAATTGATTACTGACAAACAAGATTAGGCGTCCCTGGTACACCCAGCAAGTGCACCGAGAAGCATCCTACCCCGACCCAGCCCGGGAGCGCCTGCAAGTGTGGTCAGTGGTACAAGGTCAAAAAGGGCGACAATTGCCAGGCCCTCGAGAAGAAGTTTAAGATTTCGGACAAGGATTTTCGGAAGCTCAACGGTGGCTTGAATAAGGAGTGCTCGAATCTGCAGGCCGACGTCAACGTCTGTGTCAAAGCCTGAGAATCATGAATTGGTTATCACGATATAAAGTCTGAGTTTCAAGATGGTTATACAAGGCATGGACTTTTTAAAGTTGTTGAATGCAAATTGCGGTCAACGACAGGCTTTCCACGTGCTGGACTGACAAGTCACTCGGCAATAGACTGTCCCAGCATAATCCCGAATTACCAATCCAAACTGCGGCCGGTCCCGACGTCCCGTGGCTATAAGCCTATAATTGTCCCGTCAATAAGGATGACAATATAACGGCCCATTCCTCGCTGGCAACCTCGTAATAGCACGCTGTAGAATAAGCTTAGTGCTGACCACCATTCAAATTTCCAGCAACAACATCAAAACAGGCAGTGAATTATACCACCAATCGGCTTTTGCAGTTTGTTGCTGCGCGCGGGGTTCCAACATAAAAGGTTCGTCCGCCAGCAGCATCCTCCTTTCGCTAGCTGCAAACGCCTTTTTCTTCCTCTTCTTCCTCCTCCTCTTCTAATTCTAACCACTTACGTCGAATCATGCGCTTCATCATCATGCTAGGAATGGCCATCGGCTTAGCCTCGGCCGCCGCCATGACGCCGATTGAGCGCCGGCAGTGCTCGACGCAGCGCGACGGGTGCTGCCTCAAGCAGGGCCACTGCGAAACGTGCTACTTGGGCGAGGAGCCGTACGACTGCAACTGCGAATGCCTCGAGCGCGGCCTCTGCCCCTGCACCGGCTGGTACGGAAAGACGGGCGAGTGCTTCAGCTGGTACTCCCCAGACGGTCATGTATGTTGCGGAAAAGGGGCAGAGGAAAGAACCGAGCGGTCTCGTCTTGTTGCTAACATGAACATTTTATTTTAGTGCTAAAGTAAAAAAAAAAAAAAAGCAAATGGAAAGAGGGGTGAGAGCGAGTTCGAGTTTTGGCGGGCATATATCTTGGTGGCGGATGAAAACAAAGTATAAAACACTGGCACCTCTTTTCCACCTTCCCCCAGCGCATGCATGACAGTGCTAGTGAATTAAATCGTGGAGCTTCTCAATCTCCAGGGCACAGACAGCGTCGCTTGTTAATTCTCCGAGGGCCCGCCTGACCGATTGATTATGACTCGATGGTCCTCGTCTCCAACAGCCTCTCGGCATAAGTCGCCAACACGGCCGTCTAGAGATGCAAAACACAGCCACTCCATTATGCAACATTATTCTTATTCAATCACTAGGCACCGTGAAACTGCCATCTCTTCTATGATCGTATAGTAGCGTAAAGAAAACACAGTCTTGGCGTACGTAGCCTTGTAGTTGGTTCCTTGGCGTGCCACAGCAGTCGATCCCCAGTGACTGGTGGGGGTGCTCCCTGTTTAGTCCCCCCTTGGCGACGTTTGTCGTCTGCGAGATTTATATGCGTCGAAATCACCTTTTTTGCGTGTCCTTACTCTTTGAATAATTTGATATCGCAGTCTAGAACCAAAAAAAAAAAAATCTTCTCATTTTAGCGCTTAGCAAGCGCACTCATTTATGCTCTTGGCGGCTTCATCATGAGATTCTCCGCGGCGCTGTTGAAAGCGCCACTGCCGCAGCCGGCCTTCCCTGCCCAGGCCGCAGCCGAGGGCCTAACAATCGGGTCCGACGGTCAGAAAACATCGAAAAGAAAAAAAAAGAAAAAAATTCGCAGGCATGGATTCAGATCTCAAGTCTAACCGACACCTCTTCTCTCCGCAGCCGACATCAAGCTTACCGCCAAGACCCTCACTTACTACAAGGCGTCGCCCGGGCCGGGCCAGATCCTTGGCGTGCGGCCCGGTCCGCCGCCTTCGGGCTACTACGACTACCACTTGGTGGACCTCCTCCGGCGTCCCTCATCAACTACTGGCATTCCACCGGCCCCGCCACGCACGAATACGACGTCGTCATGCGCGGCGCTGCCCCTTCCAGACCGGTGACGATTCACGACAACCATGCCGGCCAACTATACGACCACTATTGGGCCTTTGGGGCATCGCGGCAATGACGGCCGCGGAGCGCGGCTTCCCCGAACCCCACGCCGAGGAATCAGCTGCAGTGGCTCGGGATCGTACTCACTGTGTTTAAAGACTTGGGCGAAGTCGCTGGGATGACGAGACATGCAACGTCGGCCTGCGCTGGCAGAATCCGTTTCCGAATAATGGCTGGAATTACAACGACGTGGATGCCCTCTTCTCAAGCTGGACTCGAGCTGACCGAGGTGAACGGCCGTCTCACCTGGCATCCTCTCGCCTCAACCAACCGCTACACCGGGCAACAGCACCTTTGGCGAATTTGAGCCGACAAGGCATAGACAGTAAACAGAAAAGATAAGCTTCGTCAAGGTTGGTGCCTTATCTGACGGCGCCCGCGTCTCGCAAGACTGCAGCCAAAGCTTCCAAAATCGAGTTCAGCTACACCGGCGGCCTCTTCAAAGACGGCGCCGCCCACGAGCCAGCCGGCACCTGCACCACTGCAATCATCTTCGTGCAAAGGCTTACCAACACCGCCCAGCTCGCCCGCACATTGGCGACGCCGTGCTCCCCCGTTCTCAAGACATCAGCCGCGGCGGTCGTTCCAGCCGTGCAGCGATAGCGCCTGCGCCTTGCACTTGCACAGCGAGACAAAAAGCCCAACGATGACGATAAGACGGGCGTCGGCACCGCCGGTAGCGTGCTGTATGTCGTGCATCCTAAACCCCCTCCTTGTAGCCAAGCCGGGTCATGTCCCTTATACGACCAAAACACGGGGCGGCACCTCTGTCCAGCTCAATCGAGCCCGGCAGGCAGCGGCATCAGCGGCAACACCACCGCCAGCAAGAGCGACGTCAAGGATGACGGCGGCGACAAACAAAAAGGGCGCGGCTGACAAAAGGAGATGCAGCGTTGCCATAAGATCTCGTGATGACGTGCATCACCGCCCTGCTTCTTCCTGTAGACGGGTCGAATCAGCCGCTTGTAAATAGTCAGCTCTCACTTTCTTTTTTTTTCCGCGGGCCTTAATCATTGTCTTGCAGCATCTGCAGTCTCACATTCCCGTTCCTGCCCCCAAAAAGTTTCACAGCCAGTCGTTTTCGGCCGGTCTGCAACATCCGCGTATGCAAAAGCGAATCAATCGGAACCAGAGTCTCATACCTCGACCGGCGTCGGATCGAACATGTCTCCATAGTCACATGTCTTAAGGAAACATTGTGCTACTCATGGTCGGATAAGCTGAAAAGGGCGTTTTACACCGACGAGTGATTCACTTTTTTTTTCCCCCCATCCATCTTGGCGTCAAAGAAACATTTTTTTGTGTCGCGCCGACGCCCAACCGCCGCACACCGAGACCTGCCTCGCCTGGCAACACTGCTGTGTACGGGCGTCAGACGGCCCCCCGATGACCGGCTGCAGGCGTCGCTGTATCCAGACATATGAGACGCTGGCTAACGTTGTTTCAATACTTCTCACAAAAAAAAAAGTGCCAGTCGGGG